TCTCCTAGAGGTGTTCAACTGGGTTGAGATTTGAGCATGATCATAACGTCTGATTCACAAAATGTTCATGCTCAGGCTGTTCAGTGACCGTTTGTTCCTTATGGATGGGGGCACTGTCATCCTGGAAGAGACCACTATTTTAATTTGCCACATGTGAAGACCGTAAAAGGTTTATACTCTAAATCTTTGTAACTGTTTGATGTGTAAAGCATTGAGACCATCCTCATGAGAAAAATGACAACATTGGTTCAAAACCCCTACAACATCTGGAGTGTGATTTGTAGCATCTGAAGGTAGCTTGACATTCAGAGCACAGAACCTCATAGGGAGAGGGCAGGGAAGAATGGTGTTTTAGGCAGGTTTTTACAGTCTAAATCCAACTAAACATTAGTTCAAAAAATGGTCATATCAATCATATTAATTTGTAGAGGCCCCTACAAATGATGCCATCATGGTGAAAGCATCAGATCAAAATGTTCAAGTGGGCTGTTGAAGGCAATGACAAGGGGCATGTTTTGGTTGGATGACTTTGGCATGTCTGTGTATGTCCATCCCAGCCATCCATTATCTATAGCGTTTATCTGAACAAGGGTCACAGGGGGGCTGGAGCCAATCCAAGCTGACACTGGACGAGAGGTGGGGTCCACCCTGGACAGGTCGCCAGTCTATCACAGGGCTGACATGTAGACAAACAACCACACACACTCACACTCACTCCTACAATCAATTTAGAGTCACCAGTCAACCTCAGCTACATGTCTTTGGACTGTGGGAGGAAGCTGGAGTACCCATAGAGAACCCACACAGGCACAGGGAGAACATGCAGACTCCAAACCAAAAGGCAGCAGCGCTAACCCCTGTGCCACTGTGTTGTCCAGTTTGTGTAAGTGTGTGTGTGTATACTTTGGTCTGCTTATTTATGTATACCTGTGTGTGTAGGTGCAAAGGCAGAGGTACACACAGTATGGTAAAGAAGGGGAAAAAAGACACATGGACTTAAAACTGATCAGGAAAAGTCACCTTTAACTTTCACCCTGATCCTTATTGTCCTAACAGTGTCGTCTCTGTACAGTTAGATTACTCAGGATGGCCTAGAGAGACCACCCCTCCTCTGAAAGGTCGCAGACATGATGCATGCCTTCTTGCAATGTCCATTAAGCAAGACATGTAATCTGGTCCTGTTTCTTCAGTGTCCTGTACATCACCCTGGAAAAGAGCATCCGCTAAATGCCTGGAATATTAATAGAAAATGCAGCTATTAAACACAGCATCTCTGTCATTTTAGCCTGGATATATTCGAAATAAACATTGCGTTTTGCAACTAATTGATTGGTGGATAATTTGAATGCAAATAGCAGCAATTAATGCTTGGTGTACTCATCAAGAGTGGCACTGCTGAGCAAGATAAATATGTGTATGATTGTCTGCCTCCAAAGAGATAAACTAATCATTAAAAAAAAAAAAATCAAGTTTTAATGACTCATAAACTGTCAGTAACATTAAAGTGGAAACCTTTTATGGACTGGACAAATGGACAAATGGAAACATAAAAAAGTTCATTTATTTGACACTCTTGTAGTCTAAAGCCCCTTTTCCACTTCCTGGTATCGCCTCAGCTGGACTTGACTTGACTTGCCTTATTTGTGTTTCCATCAGTCAAATGGTGGGGATAGTACTTGGTACTATTTGTGGTACCACTTCCATCAAGAGTCCAAGCGAGCAGAGGCGATACCAAATGGTGACATGTAAATACTGCAGACTAGTGACTGGTCAGAGAAATCGCGTCAACGTGTGAGACATCCTGCAACAAAGAAAGTGCCATTTTTAAAAGCAACCTTATTTAATGCTAACCGCTACTTTACTGTAGTTACTGTACTAACTGAAAACAGCCACATACCGAGAATCAGGAACAGCATATCTTTCACACCCTCCACAAACACTTTTTCACACCACTGTATCTTTCACATCCTCCATTATGCCATTTGCTGACGACGTCGTGGCAGTGTAATGTGGTGTCGCTATGGCTACACAACTATACAGAGGGTGGACCATCTGCAGTGGAAAACCAAGCACCCAGTACCAAAAGCGACTACAGTCGAGTCGAGTCAAGTTCAGACGGTACCAGGTGATGGAAAAGCACCTTTAAGATGTACTTTATTGAAGCTAGGCAAATAATGCAGATCACATTCTGCAATGGCACTATAAATTCCAAGAAAAGAAAATGGATTGTTGGAGAGTTAATTATTAAGTTTCTCTGCATTAAGTGCTGCCACTCTTTCAGTGAGAGTTCTTTGTTTGGACATAGTAACTTTCAGAGTGCAGAGGTCACAGAAAGAGAGCAGAAACCTGCAGGCTAGTCGACTAGTTAAAAATCCACAGTCACCTGCTCCAGTCTGCTGTCCCCTCTGTGCCAGATGACCTAAATCCCACTCCAACTGCCCTGTGCCCTGAGCTGTTGGGCAGACCACGCTCCCTGCTCCTATTCCTCCCTCGCTCATCACAAGTGATACATCAGCCCAGGGCATATAGCAGTTTTAGAACAAAAGTGGGGTTTTGTTGTGTGTGCGAGACAGAGTGAATATGTGAGCGAGTGCTCGCCTGTACTGTTGTTCGCAGAGAGAGAGAGAGAGAGAGAGAGAGAGAGAGAGAGAGAGAGAGCAGAATCATTACTGCCAGAGATAATATGGGACAAAAGGTCAGACTCACTGTGCATCAAAAGTTTCAGTGTGTTTATTTGTTTGTCTTCATGTGGAAGCAACATAAGGGACAGCTAAAACAAATAACCTCTTGACAGGAACAACTGTAATTTTCAACTTCTCTGACACAATCAGAGCCTTGAGCTGTACGAGTTAGTATAACATCACATGTAAGTGGCATTCATCCTGGTTCCAGTAAATCCTGCTTGTTTTCATTTTACTCCTGCTGCAGATATACGGCACATTTTACCTTTTAGAATAAAATGCCTTTATTCTCAGTGTCCCGCTGAGCACTCATCAAAGCTGATTTGTTAAGACACTTGACTTTTTAACCAAAGCGGCTTCCTCCTCTTTAAGCAACAAAAGAACATCCAGTGACAGAGCCTGTCTGTTAATGAGCCTTCTGTTTGTAAAAGAAGATTAAGGAAATGCTGGTAGTGATTTGGCAGATAATAACCGCAGAGATGGCGAGAAGAAAAAAGACAGAGTGAGACTAGGCGACAGAAAAAACAAAGTTTTAGAAGACCAAACTGCTGTCAGTTGATGGATGAGCAGATGGAGGCTGGGAAATTAGAAAGAGAAAGGCAAATAAGTACAGAGCAAAAGGAAGATGATTTACTTGCTGGTAGAGGCAAAGTGGCCCCCATGACTCTGTAATTTTGTCAGTAGACTTAACACTGGCGAGCACTAACAAAAGAAGCATCATTTACTTGTGTACTGTACTTACACCCTCAGCAATGTTGCACTGTAACCAACTGGTATGATTTAGCGTTTCAGCATAAATTGAGCACCAAATGAAAGTGCTGAAAATGTCATCTGCCACTTCAATAGGCATTTTTCAGCTGACAGCAACATTTTAAATAAACTTCTGAAGTGGAACAGCACAGGAAAGAGGAATCGACTGCTTTTACATGAGGTGAAAGAAAATACATAATCTTCTTGAACATATTACTGTACATTAGAATAGATTTCACACAAAACATGCACTGATTGTTGCAAGAATTAAAGGTATTCAGAAAGAATTTGTCATTGTTCTTCAATGTTAGCAATGTTAAATGTGGTGACCAAGGATGATAACAAGTAAGGCTCCACTGAAACAGGCCTGAGCGCCTCCGGAAGCAACAAATATTTTTTAATCAATTATAATCATAATACAAACAACGTGCAGATTAAAACTAAAAGCAATAAAAGTTTGAAATGACACCCTGTCTTTTCCTGTCCTTTACTTCTTCTCCCAGGGCACGAGTTTCTGTTTTAGCCTACTTGCACGACTAGGGTCTTTGCAGTTTCCAAAGTAAGGTTCCCTAATGTGAACAGCCTGCTGGCGGCAACACACAGAACTGACTTCACCTGTAATGAATGAATAAATATAATGTTTAGAACTTTATAGTTATTACTAGCACAGCTTGTAGCACTAAATTGATGAGCTGATTTATTGCGGTTTTCATGAGTATATTTCAAATATGACAACTAAGACTGGGTATGTGTAAAATGTCAGCATGACTGAAAACTGAATGGCACGATAGGTGGCTTCACTAGCTGTTTTGAGCCATTACAGTCCCCTAAACTATAACATAAGGTTAACCACTATATAATATGTGCACCCACCACAATCTAGAAGACTTAATGTTGGCAAGGTATTGTTTCTGGTTACAAGAGGTGATGACACCAGTCTGCAGACTCATCTTTGCTGATTCTGTCTCGGCCTGTAGCTAACACAAGCCCACAGACTGCAAATATCAGGCTAATGTCAAGATGCACAGCGGGAGCAGATGAATTAGTGGGCAGACTTTCCTATACCTGTGCTAGAGCTGATTATCGAAAGTGAGTGGATGTCCGTGCACTGTTTAGTTGAAGCATCTGGCACTGACAGCTCATAGCTGTGTGGCATACAGTAATAGTTTTTCATTTATTTATTTCTTATGCATGAGAATGACAGCCTTGCAGGTGGTGCAGGGCTTTTATAATTCTGACTGCGTTGAACATGGCGTCCTAAAATATTATGTATCAATCATATTTTAAACTTTATTAGTTTTTATTATTTGCCCATATTGCCAGCTTCAGTGGAAACCTGCAAATGTTAAAAAGCTGGTTCAAGCAAATCATAAAAACACATTTTCTTACCAATCTCTAGTGGTATTGTACCATGTAGATCATTTAGGTTTTATTTGTTCAGGTTTTTAGATGCCCCATATCAGAGGTTTCTCCCTCTGCTTTCCAGATACAGTGTCTCTAAAGAGAAAGGGAGAAGTCAAATGTTGGATTGTGGTTATGGTATTTTCATTTTCTTTTGCTCGTTTCCAGATCCTTGTGAACTCCATTACCCAGCCTGCCTTGCTGTATGAGAATGTGGAGGTCAGCGATGGGAGCCCAATCCTGAGAGATCTGCTCTTCAGCCCAGATCATCAGTACCTATACGCCCTCACTGATAAACAGGTAAGAGAAGCACACACAGGAGTACTCAAAATACAGTGATCTACAACCAGTCCATAATACAGCCTACAGTTGCCACTGACAACCCTGTGACAAAAAATATCAGTAGTCATTTATCCTTCTGATGATTTTAGGGATGGATCCAGGGGTATAGGACAGCCTATGGCAAGCTACTATGTGTGCTGCATCCACATGGCAAATACATTTATACATTTGACACAAACTTCCATATACATTACATTTACTGTATGTATTCAAAAAGCTAACACACACACCTCACTGCTGAAAATAGGCGAACGATTATAATGGGAGAACAGAAGAAAGAAGAAAATGAAGACAGTAGAATAGCACCATCAAGAGTTAACAAGAAAAGATGTATTAAAAACATACGCAGGGCCAGAGAACAGTCAAGCTAATTACATACCACACACTTAAGTCATGAGTTCTAATTTAAACGGAATTAAAATGTGTCATATATAGGATGAAGCCCTGTGCCACCCTTTCATCAGACACTTATGATGGGTTATCTTTTGAATAAGCCGACTTTTGTAAACTCGCTGTATATTAAGACATCTGACAATAGCCACTGATGCTTACTATTATGTGGGATGTTTTTCATTTTCAATAGCTTTGTCTCATTGATTTCTCATTCCCCATACTAACCTCATCTGCAGAGTAATAAGTACAATAAAATCCTGTAGTCCGGACATCAAGGTGTTGTTATCTTGAACCACCTTCATTTATGAGAGTTTGATGCTGTAGCTACTATAGTTTTGGAGGGTACAGCTATGGCTATTTCCTCTCCTCCACTTTCCCTCTTGTCCTTCATTTACCTGCATGGCTCTCTTATCTCCGGTTAATGACCATGATGTGATAACCTTCAATGAGACTTCCCAGTACCTAGATAGTAGTTGCTATGTGAACGCTGTGTAATTTACCAGCAATTAGACATAATTGACTTTCATCTGTCTGAATGAGTGTGGAGAGGGAGTGGAATGTAATTGATACAAATGGAGAGTGACTTTGTTGCTGGGACAGGGGAAATAAGGCCCTTTAATCACTGATAGTTGAAATGTACTGTACATGGAGATGCATAAATATATTTAAAAACAGAGAGACAACACACACACACACACACACACACACACACACAAGGATATAATTCTCAGTATTATTAACATTAGCAGTTAGAGTTCAATTGCCACATTAGCACAACTAGAAATAGTACAATATGCACAAGGTCTACATTCACAACACTGCAAACAGTAGAATAAGGCTAGGATTATTTCTGGACCACGACACCAGGGGCAGACTGAAACAATAATTCAGGCTGGGAATTTGACTCCATCCCAGGCCACCCTGTTCAGAAACCTTTTCACCAAATTTTGTAAGTGAACCCTATTTGTTGATGTGATGGGTACATGTGTTATAAATCCAGCACACCCCTTTAGCAGTCCTCTGTGTAAGCATAAGTGATCATTTCAGCTTTGCTCGCAGTACCACCAGTTTGTGGTAACAGTAACAAGGTTGTTAAGCTTGTTATGAACAAACTAAAACTGTTAATGAGATATATTTGTAGTTAAAGACATCACACTGTTTAAACACGTTTTTTGAAGTTCAATAAATGCATGATGTTTTCAAAGTCAGTGAGTAATGGTGTTAAATAATCATAATCTCATTATTGACAAAAATAATCATGCAGCCCTACTATGATGGAAGGACAGTTATCAAGTTATGAAATACATAAATTTGGGACTGACCAACAAGTAGCCTAGCTGAACCTTGAGTTTTGAAGGTCAAAGTGTTTATTTGTCATATGCAGAGTTAGGAAATGTGTTTCCCTGTACAATGAAATTCTAACTTTGCCATCCACATGAATGCCACAAAATACAAATAAAATATAAAGTAGATAAATAAGTAACACAAAATCTAAGGCACTTTAAGCAACAGTGCAGCAATATAATAAAAAATATATAAGAATATAATAAAAGAATGTATGCTGCATGGGAGGCGAACAGTCCATGCTGGGGGTCGGTGGGGTCTTTGAGGATGGAGGCATGGCTTGGTTGTGGGTGAGCCCTCCAAAACTCACAAGGAATACACCAGACATACAAATTTACAAGCCTAGATGCACAAAACACGTACTCTGTGCTTTTTAAATAGAGAATGTGATAGAGTTAGATTATATTGTTCACTCGCTGGTGTCCATAGAACAAACAGCACAAAAAATGAACACATCTATAACTAGTGCTGGCAAGACCATAGACTAGATTTACTATTTCTTACTAGTTGAAAGGCAGTTCCTTTAATGTCAGTTGACTACTGTGTTGCATTCATTGCTACAATATAATGCTAATTCCTCCATGTAGACATGAGCTGTGTAAACTGTGTAGTCACCGGCCTTCGTGTTGCACTGTTACTAGCTGCTTAGCTAGCCATGCTGGTATGTTGTGGGTGTGTGTGTTTTAGCTAGTGTCATTGACTGACCTGGTCTTTTACTGGCGAACATGTTGCTTATATTGTAGCATTTAGTTGGGTCTGTGGCAGTGCCCTTTTTTTTCATTCTCTCTCTGCTCCACGTTTCCTGTCCTGCTAAGTGTGATGACTGTCCATTTCACTGGGCAACTTGTCTAAACTGTTTTTGGTGGAAACGCAGGTAGACAGTTGATATGTGCATCACCAAGAGACACATTGTCATTTTTTACATTGCAGCAGAA